TTGACGGTTACGTGTGCGGTTCGATGGTCCGAACCAGATGGTTCGTGGTCAAGTCTGCTCTGGTCCTTTTATCGTGGGACGTGACGCGGTTAGGTGGAACACGAGCAAGGGTGGGCTGGGATGACGGTGGTACATTGGAATGGGACGCGGAAGGTGGTGAGGGAAGGATGGGACGCGGAAAGTACCGGACCATAGTATCGGTCATCCGGTGTTTGGAACCTAAAGGATGCGGGCATGGACTTACTGGGACGCGATGCACCATGGAACGTGAAGGGCTAGGACGCATGACGAATTGGGAAGTGATGTAGGACATGTTGTGGGTTGAGGCAACAACCGAAGCCAACACTGGTCGAAGCACCGGTTATTGTGCGTGACCGTTGTTAGGGAGGGTGGGACGCGGCTCCATGTGTGACGAGGCAAGGGACGCAAGGAACTTACTTGGGATGCAGGACGAGCTGGCAAAGGACGCGGCACGAGTTGATCAAGGATGCGGCCCGAGTTGCGGGTCCGGGGCAATACCGATCAAAGTATCGCTCGGACCCGACTGGTGTTAGGAGGACATGGGACACATCTCGAAGATTTTTGGTCGCGAGACACTTTGGCTCAAACACCGGTCGTATTTTCCGACCGATATCGTGACCGGTGTTAGGGTCACTTCGGCCTTGGTTCCAGATTTGGTTAGCATGGGCCAAAACGTTTGACCAGTGTTTTGTCCAGTGCTTCAAACTTCATTTACGCTTCATACAGACTCAACATTGAGATCTGAAAGATGTTCTGTAATGTTGAGACCTAGATCTTTCCAACGGTATGAAGAAGGTCTCCTGGTTCCTTGTGGTTCGTCCTGAGAAAAAGTTTAAAGTTGGCTCCTTACAGCTTCGTCTCCTTCTTCAGTCTTGGGAAATTGGTCATAACTTTCAGACCATAATATCAAATTACGTTCTACTTTTTTTTATAGCTTCGTTTGACTGTCTCCTATTAGTCCACCAAATTTCAGATTTTTATGGGTTGATATGATGATCCGTTTGTGCCTTGAACCAGAACGGGTCTTGTTCTATCCCCTTCTCTTCTTTCTTCTCTAAAAACATATTTTTTTTTTATTTTTTATAAATTTTTGTAAAAATCTGAAAATTCATGATTAGAAAAACCAATAAGTAATAAAAATTTAAAAACTAAAACCATGATTAAAATTTG